AGGGGGGCCTCACACCCTTGACGTCGTGACTATTTCACATTGTGGACCCCCGGAGGTCTGGACCCCTTCCCCAGGGCCAGCTTGTCATCCCGAGTCGTTTTCTCTTTCGCCTTGACTTTGTCGAGACGTCCGAGGTCCCCGGATCTCCAGGCGTCGCCAGAGGATAACGAAAGGAGCTTTTGGGTCAGTTTCGGTATCCAGGGCGGGGGACCCTTACCAGGCCCCGAGACCATGCAAAAAGACGTCGGGATGAAGAGCCAGCCCCAGGGAAGGGGTGTGCAGAACCTCCGGGGATCCACGCCGTGAGAAAATCACGACGTCGAAAGTAGGGGACGGACATCCGGCGCTTCGATCTGTTCGACGCGTGGCCCCCTGGGCCTCTCGGGGCGGTTGAAGGATCACCCCCAAAATCGCAGAACACCAACCCTGGAAATCCGCTCCATTTGCGGTCTCTGGGCTCGGCGTCCGACGCGTTCCCGGGTTCTTGTCCGCCCGGTTTACCCGTGTCACGCGTTCGCGCTCCTGGCTTGGTGTCTGCGCTTCCTGGGTGGAGGTCGTCTCCTTGGCACTGCCTCGGAGCCTCAGCACGGCCCTCCGCCCACGCACCACTCGGCGCCCCTGTGGGCCCCGCGCAGCGTGTTCTCTGCCCTTCGTGGCCCCGTTTTTGTTCACCCCTCCTTTCCTTCTTCTCACCCATCCTTTCTGGCTTACCTCCTTTCTCTGGGCAGATTCGCGCTAATCCATTTCGAACAGTGTTCGGCTGGAGCGCGCGAGTAGTTTTGGATCTCAGCTTCAGGCGCCTCGCCCCTCAGGCCGCCCCCGCCGCGCAACATTGTTTGGGAACCGTCGCCAACTCTGGAAAAAGGGGGGGGCCCTCCATATCCTCTTCTCCTCCTCTCCCTTGGCCCCTCGCTCATCCTCGCTTCCCCTCTGCCGTTCTGTCGGTCCCTCTCCGCGCCGGGGCCTGGCGCAGTCCGTGGGCGTCGGGGGCCCAGCGCGTAAAAAAAAGCCTGGTTCGGCCGGGTCTCGGGGTCGGCCGGGCTTCGGGGGTCCGCATCCTCCTCGCCCTCCGCGCTCTCTCTCTCTCTCTCTCTCTCTCTATCTTTTTCTCTCTCTCTCTCTCTCTCTCTTTCTCTCTCTTTGTTATCTCTCTCTCTCTGTTTCTCTTCCTCTCTCTCTCTCTTTCTCTCAGTCATGTTTGCTTGTTTGTGCTATAATGATATGTATATATATATATATATATGTATGTATGTGTTGTCATCTCTCTCTCTTCTCTCTCTCTCTCTCTCTTTTTCTCTCTCTCTCTCTCTCTCTCTCTCTCTCTCTCTCTCCTTTCGCAGCTGTCCCTCCCGTCCCTCCGTCCCTCCCTGTTCCCTCCTCCCCCTCCCTCCCTCCCTCCCTCCCTCCCTCCCTCGCCTCATCGTCATTGTCGTCGTCGTCGACGACGACTAGTCGTCGTCGTCGTCCCTGGCCGCCCCCCTTGGGGCCCGCCTGCCGCCCGGGGCCCGGCACTCCGACCCTTCAGCCAGCCAGGCCGATAATCCTCGCGACTGCCTTGCCGCCTAGCGAGGGCCAGCCTGTCGGCCCCTCAGCCCCCACCCTCCTCTCTCTCTTCCTTCCCTTCCCCCCTCCTTCCCTCCTTCCCTCTCGTCCTCCTCCTCCTCCTCCTTCTCCTCCTCCCCCCTCCTCCTCTTCCTCCTTCCCTCCTCTCGTCGTGGTCGTCGTCGTGGTGCGCCCGCTGTCTGTCCATCTTGGGGTCGGGTTGCCGCGGGTCGGCGCGTGCATCGCCAGCGCTGCCACTGGCCAGGCCGACGGTCCGCCGCTTGCCGGGGCCCGGTTTGCCGACCTTTGAGACGCGCGTGTTCCACTGGCCCAGGTTCTTCTGCAGGCTTCGAATGAAGGCCTCCCTCGACGAGGCCCCCGGGGCGTTCCCGCAGGTTTCCGGAGCCTCTGGAACTGCTCGGCTGTCATCGGGGCCATTCCGAAGCCCCCCAGAGGTCATAGGAGGCTTTCGGGTGCCTTCCAATGCCCCCGCGCCTTGTTTCCGCACCAGTCTCCGCTCGTATCCACCTGCCCCCACTGTTCAACGTTCTTTCCCAATCTTCTCTACTCCTTCCCTTTATCTTCATTTTCATTGCGTTCGTCCTCCATTGTGCTATTCCTGAGTTCTTCGCATTCCGCGCACTCCTCCCCGAGCCACCCATCCCACCCCAACAATCTCCACCCCTTCCCGCTCGCATTCCGCATTTCTCCCAAATTATTCCCAGTCCCTCCTCCAGATTCCTCCGTGCGCCTCCCGCTCCTCTAGACTCCTCCCGGCTCCTCTTCTCCACTCCTTGCCACTCCTCCTCCTGAGACCCTGTTCTTGTCCACTCCATCCCACTCCGCTCCACATCCCCGCGCCCCTCTGGACGCGGTTGCAGTTCTCACTATCTTTTGTTGTTGCCCCACTCTCCCAACATCCCGCTTCTTTTCAGGGTTCCACGAAATGTGTTTCTGACACCAGTTCGCAGCTGCACGCCCCCCCGTAGGCGTATCCACGATATGTTATTTCAAGAGGGTGGTGCGTGGCGCTGTTTATGGCACGACCCATGGCGAAACTTACTCTTAACCTGTGTTGGAGTGGTTGGCGCAAGCCATGGCGCGAGCTGAATCGCCACTCACAGCGCAAATAATCGTCCTCCCTCCTTCTTGCCCCTCCGCCCCCTTCCTCCGATCCATTCGTCCTCATTCTCCCCCGTTATCTGTTACCCTTCGTTTTCAAAGGCTTCACCAACCACGCGTGGCAGGGAATGAATATACCCAAAAAAAGGGGGTACGATCGAAGACGAAGAGGGCGTGTATCCAGGGTTTGGGATACGCATATTGAATGACACGTGAGCAGAGAAGAGCGAACAGTCTTAAAATGATTGTTGTTGGTGTTGTGTTTGTTGTTGTTGTTGATGTTGTTGTTGGTGGTGGTGTTGTTGTTGTTGATGTCGTTGTTGTTGCTGCTGTTGTTGCTGTTGTTGTTGTTGCTGTTGTTGTTGCTGTTGGTGTTGCTGATGTTGTTGCTGTTGCTGTTGTTGTTGATGTTGTTGTTGGTGTTGTTGTTATTGTCGGTGTTGTTGGTGTTGTTGTTGTTGGTGGTGGTGTTGTTGGTGTTGCTGTTGTTGTCGTTGGTGTTGTTGTTGTTGGTGTTGTTGGTGTTGTTGTTGTTGTTGGTGGTTGGTGGTGTTGTTGGTGTTGGTGTTGTTTTGTTGCTGCTGTTGTTGTTGTTGGTATTGTTGTTGTTGCTGCTGCTGCTGTTGTTGTTGTTGGTGGTGGTGTTGTTGTTGTTGTGTTGTTGTTGTTGGTGTTGTTGTTGTTGCTGCTGCTGCTGCTGTTGTTGTTGTTGTTGTTGTTGGTGTTGTTGTTGTTGTTGTTGGTGTTGTTGTTGTTGTTGTTGTGTGGGGGGCGGTTTGGGCACCCCCCAAAACCGCTCGAGCGTGAGCCTCATTTCCAATGAGAGAATGTAGCCGGCGCCGAGGCGAGAGCGTCAAAGCGCCTGGGGGGGTCCAACAAAAACAACTGTTGCGAAAATAACATTCAACAACAGCAGTAGCAACAACAGCAACAACAACAAACACTCTAACATCACCAACAACAACAGCAGCAGCAGCAGCAGCAGAAGCAACAACGATCATTGTAAGACTGTTGGATATTCCCTGCGCGCGTGCCATTCAACACGTATATCCCAAACCCTAGGTACCCGCCCGCTTCGTCTTCGATCGTACTTCGTTGGGGGCGGGATATACCTTCCTTACCAGCCGCGTGAAAGTTGTGCAGCCCCTGAAACTGCAAAAAGAGAGGACGGATGGAAGGGGGAGGGAGAAGGATGGAGCACGGGATTAGCAGGAGGGGGGCTAGGAGCAGAGAAACCGCTGCATAACATGACGGGCCCATCAGGCTGGTAGACCCTAACGGGCGGGGCGTGAAGGCGGGCCCAATCGGCCAGACCGAGAAGGCCTGTTGCTGAAGCGTGGGGACTGAATCGCGAGGAGAGCTTGAGCGATAGCGCGATTCCCAGGTAAATCGTGAGAAAAGCAACAACGAGAGCGTGATCCCTGGGTGCCGAGGGCGCAGCGTCTGAATAAATTCCAAGAAGTCCCACGCGAGAGCATGATTCCTTGAGCGCGATTTGGGAATAATAAATGCTGAGGAAACAATAGGCTGGAGCCGTTGTTGTTGTAGTTCGGGGCCCAACATCCCAGTGTGATGGCATCAAGCTTTCCCTGTTAGAAAACAGGGTACGAACCCCGGGGGGGGACTTCAATTGACAAATGCAATGGTTACTGGAGGGGGGATCGACAATAATTATTATTTAAGACTTTAGGAATGAAGATTCAGCAAACACGACAACAGCAGCAACAACAACGACGACAACAGCAACGACAACAAAAGCACCACCAACAAAAACAGCAACAACCGCGACGACGACACGAACAAAAACAGCAAGAACAACAACAACAACAACAACAACAGCAGCAACAACAACAACAAACGCAGCAGCAGCAGCAGCAACACCACCACCAACAGCAACAATTACAACAACAACAACAACAGCAACAACAACAAGGTAACGGAACACCACAGGCATACCCTCAGGAGACAACGGTCCAGGGGGATAGCATCCATACAAACACCTAGCAATCAGCGAAGTGCTTTTTAAGCTCAGCTTGACACACAGACCTCCAATGGCCTTATCCTTATCATTATCCTTATCTTTATCATTCCCCTCTTCCTCCTCCTACTACTACTACTACTACGACTACTACTACTACTACTACTACTAATACCACTACTACTACTACTACTACTACTACTACTACTACTACTACTACTCCTACTCCTCCTTCTCCTCCTACTCCTCCTCCGTCCTCTCTCCCTGTGCCACGTCCTCTCTCCTTCCCTCTCCCGCGAGGGGCGAAGGAAGGAAGGGAGAGGGAACGAGAGGAAGAGTGGGGACGCCGACCATGCCACACCACGCTGACCGAGCCACAATACTTACAGCAAACCCCCAGAAGAGGGGAGTGCAAGATAGGGAGCGATAACTGCAGCGGCAAGAATGGCATCGAAGCATCACTCGGCACAAGTCTGTCCAGCAGTCACATTGCCTAGGCGCGGGCCGCATCATCCACGGAGTTGGCCAGGGCGCTGTCTTCGACCCTCTGAGACTGCCCGTTCCTCAGGTCGGCCACTCGCTTCCGGCAGAGGAGCTCCTGCCGCTCGATCTCCTGCCATTGGACCTCTGCCACGGCGGCGGCAACGGCAACGGCAACGACAGCCACGGTGACGGCGGCCACAGCAGCGGCGGCGTCAGCGGCGACAACAATGACGGCGGCGGCGGTCGGTGACCTTCATCTTGCTCACGGTCTCCGCCAGCTTCTGGATGACAAGCAGGTTCTCGTTGTTTTCCAGCAGGGCCGTGTGAAGCATATCGCCCTCTGTCTTCGAGTTGTGCTGCGCGCCCGCCGCCTCCTGGTGGGCCAGCTCTATGTTGCCGAGCTGATCCTGCGCCTTGTGAGGGTGGGGGAACCCTCTCCCTGCCCACATCACTTGCCGGCACATCGAAATGCGACCATCAGAGGGTCTGTGGCGCACCTTGAAGCCAACATTGACGTCGTTGGGCACCCCCTGATCTACAGTTCAGAGACCTAGAGCTAACCAGATACTCGAGGCAACGCACCCCAGCTAGGCCACGGCGACCGAATCGTCGGAGGTGAGGGGGTGAGGTCGAAGTGGAACGGAGAGCCCCCCTACCGGGAAATCGGTTTCGGTTTCGTGTTCGTGCGTGCCGTGCGTGCGGGCGAGGCGAAGCTGCGTGGGCGGGCGAGGAGAAAGTCTCCTGTGGCTGAGGCGCGGCCGGACCAATTCATTCCATTCCGGCAACCGCTGCCGCGCGGTGTCCCGCCGGTGTCCCGCCTCCGGCTGAGGCGCGGCTGGACCAAATGACTCCCTTCCGGGGGCTGGTGCCGCGCGGTGTCTCGCCAGTCTCCCGCCGGTGCCCCGTCGGTGTCCCGATGATGATGATGATGATGATGATGAGGTGATGATGATGATGATGATGCTGATGATGATGAGGAGGAGGAGGATGAGGATGAGGATGAGGATGAGGATGATGATGATGATGATGATGATGATGATGATGTCGATGATGTTAATGATGATGATGATGATGATGATGATGATGATGATGATGGTGATGGTGATCGTGATGGTGATGGTGGTGATGATGATTGTGTCCCGTGATGATGATGTTGACGATGTTGATGATGATGATGATGATTATGATGGTAATGGTGGTGATGATGATGGTGTCCCGATGATGCTGATGGTGTTGATAATGATGGTGTTGCTGATGATGGTGGTGTCTCGATGATGATGGTGATGATGATGATGCTGATCCTGATGAGGTTGATGATGATGAGGTGATGATGAGATGATGATGATCATGATGGTGATGATGATGATGATGGTAATGATGGTGATGACGATAGTGTCCCGCTGATGATGATGATGTCGATGATGTTGATGATGTTGATGATGGTGATGATGGTGTCCCAGTGATGATGATGATGATGATGCTGATGATGTTGGCGATGTTGATGATGATGATGATGGTGATAGTGGTGATGATGATGATGGTGTCCCGATGATGATGATGATGATGATGATGATGATGATGTTGATGTTGATGATGTTGCTGATGATGATGATGACGATGATGGTGAGAGTGTCCCGACGATGATGATGATGAGATTGATCATCCTGATGATGTTGATGATGATATGATGAGATGATGATGATGATGGTGATGGTGTCACGAAGATGATGGTGATGATGTTGATGATGATGCTGTTGATGATGATGGTGAAGATGATGATGGTGCCCCAATGATGATGATGCTGATGATGATGATGACGATGATGGTGTCCCGATGATGATAATGTTGATGATGAGGATGATGATGAGGTGATGATGATGATTTTGATGATGGTGGCCCGATGATGGTGATGATGATGATGCTGATGTTGATGATGATGGTGTGCCGATGATGATGGTGATGATGATAGGGACGATGACGGTGGTGTCCCGATGGTGATGATGATGATGCTGATGGTGATGATGGTGCCCCGATGATGATGATGATGATGATGATGTTGGTAATGTTGTTCATGATGATAAGAAGATGATGATGATGGTGGTGTTCCGATGATGATGATGGTGTCCCGATGGTGATGATGTTGATGATGATGGTGATGATGTTGGTGCCCCGATGATGATGATGATGATGATGATGATGATGATGATGATGATGATGATGATGATGATGTTAGTGACGTAGATGACGATGATGCTGATGATGATGACGCTGATTATGAAATCGATTGTGATATCGATAGTGAGATCGATAGTGAGACCGAATGTGAGATCGATTGTGAGATCGATAGTGGGATCGATAGTGATATCGATTGTGAGATCGATGGTCAGATCGATTGTGAGATCGATCGAAATAGATCGAGTGAGATCGATTGTGAGATCGATCGAGTGAGATCCATCGGGCGAGACCGATAGTGAGATCGATAGTGAGATCGATAGTGAGACCGATCGAGTGAGACGTTGGTTCCTCCCCCCCCCGAACCTCCTTTTCACCCGAAGGGTGGTCGTATGGGTATTCTGCAGCCCGCCCTGCAAAGGACCACACGAGCGGCCGCGAGGCACGAAGGTTAGGTGTTTGTTCTGGGGACCTTCCTGCAGCCACTCGCTGCACTCATGCGTCGATGCTATGTCGAACGTCCGTCAAAGTGAGCCGAACTTGAGTCGAAGTTGAGTCGAACTAGAGTCAGGGTAGAATCGAACAGATCTGCCAGGTACGCCCTATGAGAGTCCCCAAAACGAGCATCTCTAGCGAAGGGCGCACGCCCTGGGGTCCAAAGCAGCCGAATCGGATCCTGCACGCGCGAGATCGCGAGGCGCCACGCGCGGGGGCCTCGGGCCGCGGCGACCAGATTGGATCCCGCACTCCAAACCGCGAGGGCGAGGTGCCCTTGGAGGCGACCTCAGGCCGACACCCTGAGGCCCCCTGCCAGACCCTGAAAACTCCCTGAGGAGCCCCCCTGGACGCCCTTTCGCGTCAGCCACGCCAAAGACTGCACGACGCCAACCGAGCATCAGGCCAGTTCGATACACGCTGCCGCCCGGGCCAGCACGCGCAGAAGCGTGCGTCGAAGCGGTCAGGTACACGGACGGCGTCGTCATAGTGGACGGGCGGCGCTACGCAGCGAACCATCTCAGAGAGAAGCAGCAATCGCAACAGAGAACAGCAGGCCCTGGCCTCCGCCGTCATCTCGGCCGCGGCGGCGCTGGACTCCCGCGCGAGCTGCTGCAGCAGGGCCGGGTCGCCGCTGGACCCAGGCCTGTCCTGCCTGCGCCCATGCCGGTGCCGCGCCCCAGAGGCGCCGAGGCGCGAGACCTGCACAGCGGAGCGACACACGGTGGAGACAACGACGGCGGCAACAACGACGGCGGCGACGACGACGACGACGACGACGACGACGGCGACGGCGGCGGCGGCGGCGACGACGACGACGACGACGACGACGACGACGACGACGACGACGACGGCGGCGACGACGGCGACGACAATGACAATGACGACGGGGACGCGCTGCACGGCGGCGGCGACCACAGCGACGACGGCGATGGCGGCGACGGCGATGGCGCCGAAGGCGACTGCGACGGCGGCGGCGGCGGCGGCCACGGCATCGCCGGCGACGGCGGGGGCGGGGACGACGAGGGGAGACCTGCAGCGCGGAGTGGCGAACCTTCCTGTGCACGACGACGGGCGCCTTCTCGGCGCCCACGCCACCCAGGAGCACGGCCAGCAGCGCGGGGATCGCTGCGCCCAGGACGCGGGCGGGGCGGGCTGCCATTCGCTAGGGCCCCGCCGGGGGCCCGGCCCGGGGGGCCGGGGGGCGAGCGTGCTGCGGCCTCTGCGCCCGCGCCCGCGCGGCGAGCACGGCGCGCCGCGGCGAGCCCGCGGCCCCCGCCGCCGCAGCAGGCGGGGTGCGGCCGCCAGCGCGCTGCACTACGTTGAGGCAGGAGGCAGGCCCATTCGGCCTGAGCCGGGGCGGCTGCCGAGGGTGGAGGAGGACGACGACCACGACGACCGAGGGCGGCGACGAGGGCGAGGGGCCGTGGTGTCGAGCCGGGGCGCGAATCCATACACACAGCCTGTCAGCTCGTTCCCTTCTCGTCCGGTCGCCCGATGAGTTCTCAAGTGGAATCGATTACGTACGCGCCCCGAGGGCCTATACAAAGACTGCGCCTCATAATATCACGCTGTTGTTCCTACGGAGCGACGTAACGGAACGGTGCTATTCCTACGGCAACGACGACCCCAAGAAAACCAAAGCCAAATCTACGAAAGAAGGGAGGGGAATCGGCAAGCTGCCGCCCTTCCCTCCTGTGTGTAACGGAAGCCCTGGCGCGGAAGAGAAGGGGAGCGGAAGGACGAGGAGGAGAAAAAGAAAGAAGGAGACAGAGAAAACACGGGCCTATAGATACGAGGGAGCGCGTTTCACGGGCGCTCGCCTTGGGAACTTTCGGCGGCGCGTTTGCACCAGGGGGGGCACCCCCAATCATTCGGCGCCGCCGAACAGAACCATGGGGACTCCCCTCCACCCCTTCCCCCCTTCCCCGACCCCCCCCCTCGAGCGCAGGCCCCGGCACGCCCGCGCCAGCAGCGGCCGCGGCGGCGGCGGCGGCGGCCGGCAGCGCCGACGTCCGCACTCACGCCCACGCCCACTCCCACGCCCACGCCCACGCCCACGCCCACGCAAACGCCCACTCAAACGCCCACGCCCGCGCCCACGCCCACACGCACGCCAACGCCCACACCAGGGCCCACGCCCACACCCACGCCCACGCCGAAGCCGCCGCCGACGCCCACGCCCACAGCCACGCCCGCGCCCGAGGGGGGGGGGAGCACGGACAGCGCGCGACGCAGGTGCTGTCAGCGCCCGAGGCTCGCCGAGCAGCGAGCCGAGCACATGCCAGAAGAACGGGCGACGGCAGGTTTAGCGGCTGGAGAGAATGACCCCTTGTTTCAACAGTCGATGGCCCTCTGTCCCTGAAGGATTACACGAACCTGCCTGGAAAGGCCCCAATACCTACGTGGGCCCCAACGGGCCCATCGAATCCTTCAAAGTCATCAAAAAAGAATTCCTGAACAGTGATGGGTCTTGGTTTGGGAGCATCTATGAATATGTACCCAGAGCAGGCTGCAGTTCCCTACCTAAGCTCTGCCTGGAAGGGCTCTTACCCTGTATGTTTAGAGGGCCAGGCAGTGTTCCCCGCCCCGGGCGGTTCCCCCAGGATCCGCCCCGCGGTTCCCCCAGTTGCGCCCCCTGGATTCACCCAGCTTAGCTTTGCTTAGCTTAGCTTATCTCATCGTAGCTTAGCTTAGCTAAGCTTAGTTTAGCCTAGCTTAGCTTAGCTTAGTTTTGCCTAGCCTAGCCTAGCCTAGCCTAGCCTAGCCTAGCCTAGCCTAACCTAGCTTAGCTTAGCTTAGCTTAACTTAGCTTAGCTTAGCTTATCTTAGCCTCACTTAGCATATATCAGCTTGGCTTAGCTTAACTTGACTTAACCTGGCTTATCTTAGTTTAGCTTGGCTTAGCCCAGTTTAGCCTAGCCTAGCTTAGCTTAGCTTAGCTTCGGTTAGGTTAGAAAATTGCTTCGCTTAGCTTAGCTTAGCTTAGCTTAGCTTAGCTTACCTTAGCTTAGCTTAGCTTAGCTTAGCTTAGCGCAGCATAGCGCAGCGCAGCACTAGCACAGCATATCATAGCATAGCATAGCCAGGCATACATGTCATAGCACAGCTCCGCATAACCTAGCATCGCATAGCATGGCATAGCATAGCACAGCATAGCGCGGCGTAGCGTAGCATAGCATTGCATAGCATTGCTTAGCACCGCATTGCTTAGCATAGATGTAGATGTAAATGTGTGTGTCGTTGTTGATGTTGCTGTAGATGTAGATGCTGGGGTAGATGTCAATGTAGCTGTCGGTGTAGATGTATATGTTGCTTTCCTAGGGGCTCCAACTCCCAGGTAGGAGGTAGGGTCGCGCTGGGATAATTCTATTTCTACCAACGAGCCTGGAGAACTTCGCAGAGGCGTTGTTGGATGCGTCCCAAGGTTCATACCTCAGAGCGCGGTGGTCGGGGAAGTGCACGGCCTCCTGTCGGGGCTCGCCCACCTCGGGACCGCCGAGGAGGAGGAGAAGATCGAGTCGGAGCTTCAGATTCACATTGGTTGCGCTGCCCTTCTTGGAGGGTACAATGGCCATCGGAAGGCGATTGCAGGTGCCCGCCCGCCGTCGGAAGCACGGCGCGCCCCTGACAGATCAGCAGCGCCACAATGGTCGCTGAAAAATGTCAAGGCCCAGGACAAGCGCGAGCTGACAGGCGCAGCCCTCCGTCGCCAGGGAGGCAACGACAAGGCAGACGAGCTCAGATGGAGCCAAGCGCCATCATCCCGAGGTCCTCCAGGACACCTTCAAGTACGAGGCGAGCACAGTCGACTGGCGCAAAGCAGCAGAGGGCACGTGTTAAGCCCCCAGGTAGCCCCCCGAAGGCTAAAGAGATGTTTGGAGAATTGGCTCGCACACCGTCCGTTCCCAGACCGAGGCTCGCCCCCGGGGGCCGTTCGCATCGCGCGCTCGGGACCGGGGCTCCTGGGGGGCGCGCGCTGCGTGCCCGTGTTTTCCGAGGTCAGAAATCCAAGGGAGCGCGCGCGGCCCCGACTCCAGGTCTCATGGAGGTGGAGGAATTACATGTCCCCCATTGCAAAAATTGCACGTTTTCAGACCAGAGGAAGCGGACCTCTCGCTTGCGTTCTGCATTGAATGCGGGGCCTGCGCCGCGGGCCTCCCCGAAGAATCGGCAAGCCCTGCGACGTCGCTCATGGGCGGCAGAGATCTCAGATCCCCAATAGCAGACGCCCGCGCCCTAAGGGCCTTCACGCGTCGAAGCCGCGGCCCCTGGGCCGCCCCGAAGAGGGCCCAAGTGGTGGGTGGAGGGGCCACCTGCGCCACATTGAACTGCTGTTCTTTCGAGGCAGACAGCTCCCCTGCCCACCCCCTGGCGCTTTTGGAAGGAGGGTTCGGGGGTCTCTGGCCCTGGCGCCTCCGTCGTTCAGGCGCTGGGAGGTGGCCCTCGGCGGTCGGTGGCCCCACGCAGGCCCTTCGGTCATGGGTCGGAGGGTCGCAGAGAAATGCCGCCGGAAAAAAGGGTGGACTTCCCGCAAAGGCATTCGCCGCAAGAGTGGACGAGCAGGCGGAGGCAATCACGAGGGCGATCGCGGGCTCTAATCCTCGCATTCGGGGCAGGGAAAAGCGAGGGATGGGCCCCGAGGCCAGAACATTCAGCCCGCGCTGATAGACTCGCTGGGGGTCTCTCTCTTCGAAACGTTGGCCAGCTGTAGCTCGCAGCCATCATTGCGCCGTCGTCTCGCGTCGACGCTGCTCCACAAGG